TAGATTTCAGCAGGCACATGCTGTCTTTATGGTGCTGCTTTATTACACACCAAGTTAAGACACACTTCAAACACAGACCAAATGAAGACTGTCATTCTGAACTGCAAAACTAACTGCTTTGTAAGCTATGTAGCTTCTCTTCAGTATGACTTGTCCTAGAAACTAGCAATTGATATCAGCCTTCATCTTTCTGTGACGTTTGATAAGAAAACTCTTCTAATTATTGGTTTTACCCCTTTCCCTGAAGCCTTCAGTTAGTTTCTCATGAGAAGAAATGCTCAGTAGAGAGGGACTTGGATTTTAAATGTCTCCCCTACACTTCCCTCCTTCCCCTGGTAGTAGAGTAGAAACTTGAGGGTAAAACAATGGTAAATGATCGATACAGATAGAAACAGGTTAAAGGCATAGGGCTTCAGGTTTCAGCATTGTAAGATTTGGGATTTATTTTCTCCCTTCCCTCCACCCCCCACTGCTTTAGTTTATCTGTCTGGGCTTTGGACATCTCAGTGGAGCATTTATTTTCACACCCTGGACTATAACCTAGGGTGCCTTAAGCTGGCTGTGGAGTAGTATAATCAGAATTCATGTTCTGTGGCTGTACTGCCTTCATTTGTTATAAGCTGATGTGTCTCTGTTGTAGGGTTTTCTTGTGGGAGATACATGTTAGATTTAACATAGTCTTCTAGAAAAAAATGTTTAATGCAGTTGAATTTCATTTTTGTCTTAAGAGGGGGACAGTAGTTAAGAGACGTGGTAGTGGCATAATGCCTGTGAGGATGACTGAACACTGGCACAAGTTGGCCAGAGAGGTTGTGGAGTCTCCATCCTTGGAGATATCCAAAAGCTGTCTGGACATGGTCCTGGGCAACTGGTGGTCCCGGAGGCCCTGCTTGAGCAGGGGGGTTGGACCAGATGACCTCCAGTCATGCCTTCCAACCTCAACCATTCTGTGATTCTGTGACCTCTGTCACAAAGATACTTTGCAAGATTTGATCAGCTTATTCTCAGATCTGTAGTGATAAGTGCATTATAAAATATTATAAATGTTATAAGATTCTATAACAATACAGGCACTAATCAATGCAGTTATATTACTCAGTGATAAATCTTAACTTTGAATTCTTTAGTAATAGCTGTAGTTTTCCTGATTTTGATGTGTGAATATTTTTAGTATCCCTTAGAAAAACTAGATTTTCTGTGCCGTGTTTGATGCTTCTCTACAGTGTCTTAAGTTGATAATTTTTGAAATTTGCTTCATGATATAATCATACAGAGTTTCATAGAATGACCTGTGCTGTTGCTTCAGGCATTCCCCCTTCTCACTCTGAGTTTTCATGCATAGCTGTAATAATCACTAATGTAATGTCTTCACTTAGGAAATGGCCAAAGATCCAAGTTATGGCAGATAAAATCGTTTTGATCTAAGTTCTCACTGCTCCAGGACATGAGAAATCTCTTTAGGCTTGAGCTGTTCTCCTTGCGTGATCTGTCTAACCCGTTCTGCTGCTGTCAGGGACCTCAGGAAGAGACTTTCTTTTATGGTAAATGTTGGCAGAGACGGAAAGTGTGAAACACTTTGCCTTTGTCAGCTTGATAGTATCTAAATTGTTACCGGTTTTAATTACTGCCTCAGAAAGCCTGGTCACATTGTGCCTTTCTTTAGGACTTGGTAGGGATCTTCCAAACTATGGTTACGAAGATGTTGTGTGATATATAAATAGTTACAGTAAGTTCATTTGCATTGAAGTCTCATTGTTAAATGATGCTGGATACTATATCTGGGTAGGATTTTCGTGGTAGAGAAATGATAAAATGAGCATGCCTTTTTAAGCTATGCTAACGTAGCGTTTGAGTGGTGTTGGCTAACTGTAGATGCTGCTTTCATCTTTTTTTAAAATTTCACTAAACTCTTAAAACTGCCCTTTTCATCAAGTCAAAATACAAAAATACATTCTTAAGTAAAGCCTTTAAATTCTTGTATAGTCTGTAATATTTAGGGGTTTTTACCAGCGTTGTGGCAGAGCAGAACACGTGGTAATCCAAGAGAGGAGTGGAAGTAGAGACAGCGTTGGCACTGGAGAAGTTAATTTTAAAAGCAACCTGAAATACTGAGTATATTTTACTGTCGGTCTCTTTGCACCTAGCTTTTCCTTTCTTGAAGCTGATGTAAGGAAATAGATCAACAGTACGAAAATTTAATTTAATTTACCCAAATGGTATAATAGTCAAAAAGCGTGCTGGTAAGTGTTGAGCATTACACACACTGATCTGAAAACATTATTGAAGTTTATGTAGGATTGTACTTCATTTGCAGCCATATTCAGATTTAAGCTGATAACTGCTTGATAACTCCTGTATAAACTTAATGTGATACTGTTGTGTGCTTTTTTCCTTCCATTTTTATTGAACAATCCCCTTTCAAAATTCCATTAACCACAGAAGTCTAGTGTGTAAGATGAAGAACTTTAATGTCCTTTTAGCATACGTTGTGGATCTCATTTAGAAACCCAGAAGCAACATAAAGATTTTTCTGTCATTTATCTTGAGAGTGTGTAAGAATTTCTTTTTTTAATAGATATACTGCTTGGTGTTACTGTCCTGAAAAATATCTTCTTTCTTAATCAGTGATGAAGAACGATACAGATACAGAGACTATGCAGAAAGAGGCTATGACCGCCATAGAACAAGTAGAGAGAAAGAAGACCGACACAGAGACAGGAGACACAGAGAGAAAGAAGAGACTAGACACAAGTCATCTCGAAGGTTCGATTTTTTTAATAGGATACGAAAGACTTGACCAGTTTAAAAAAATAAAGTAAACTTTTAAAAGAACCCCAAACAAACTGGAGTTTTGTGGAAAGACTGTAAACACTTAGATGTACTACTTGGAACAAGTCTGCCATATAAAATGTGGACAGACAAAAAGCAGTGTTGGCCCCGGGTAACTTCATATTGAATGATGTATGTGATAGTCTAGCTAGTGAACAGAAATTATGAATTTGGGGGAAGAAGGGTAAAAATAGTGGGTCAGAAAGAGGTGGAGTGAAGCTGACATTCAGCAGCATTAACGTAAGAACTCAACAGTGATTCGTAGTAAGTAAAATAATCCTCATGGTGACTTGATAGAAATTGTTCAACTTGATCCTTTTTAAGTTAGAAATAAAGGTTAAGTCCAGGGAATGGGGTCAATAAGAATGTTAAACCATTAAGGGATGCCAATAGGGACGTAACATTATTAAAAGCATTGCTGTTAGAATATGGGTTACAAATGTGAAAAACCATTCCAGTTTCCCAACAAAAAGTATGTATGTACCATTCCATGAAAAATGCAGTTTGGCACTGACATCCAAATACTACATAGGTCAGGACAGGAGCCCGTGCCAGTTTTCAAATACAAATGCGAAGGCTGGTTTTTTGGTACTCTGTAATTAAACGGGGCCTGAAGTGTCATGCAATTGTTTGAGGTATTTTTTCTCTCTATTTAGTAACAGCAGACGTCGTCACGACAGTGAAGAAGGGGACAGCCACAGAAGGCACAAACACAAAAAGTCCAAAAGAAGCAAAGAAGGAAAAGAAGCCAGTGGTGAACCTGCTCCTGAACAGGAAAACACTGAAGCTGCCCCTGTGGAATAGGCTTGTGTGATTTTTGCCTACTTGCATATATATTAGTGCCAGAAATAGATTACTATAAATCTTGTTATTTTTCTGGGTATTAAAATAATTTGCTCTTAATCTTGTTCTGTTAGTTTGAAATCAAAGGTTACTTTGTTTTTTTGAAAATAAAAGAATGAATTTTTCATGTTAAGATTCCTGGACTGACTTTGTCTTTTAAGAAACAGTGAGAAAACATCTTATAGTTAGAAGCTTATGCTCTTACAATATATATAGGGCTTAAATTCTTTGTGTTAAATTGTCTCCTTTTTTCCTAAGCCAGTGGGAAGGTCGTTCTTTTACTGACTTTAGAGACAGCGCGCATTCACTTTATTATATACCAACATCTGGAACAGTGTGGGTTTAGTATAGCTTCTGGAGTTTGAAAAGGTCATCCTTTACTACAGGGACAAGCAGGAATTGCAGACTCTTCAAGAACCTGGTACTAAGGTGAAATGAAAAAAATTAGGGAAACTGGGAAAGGTGCTGATTGTTCTTAGTCTGCTGGAACACCGAGTGTGGTAATCATACACTTGGTAATTATGTCTGGTTTGTGTGGGTGCATAAGGGTGAATTAAGCTGGATAATCATCCCTGCTGCTTCAGTGGCTTAAGAGAAAGTTCATTTTAGTCTTTTTTCCAGGGGAACAGCTGTCCTTAACGTGATAAAGATTAACAAACATATCCTCTTCCCATTGCTATCTTGTTGCTATCTTTGCAACATGGGTAATTTGCAGAGAAAGGCAAAGAACTGTAAGAAAAATATAAACCCATCATCACTTTCAGATTTACTCCATCCAGAACAGTATCAAATGTGATTGGTGTGGCAGTCCTGCAAAAATTGTACTGCCCTGTCAGGGTGCTATTTATAAGATGGTTTTAGCAGGGTGCAGAGTACTTCCTTAAAAATAATAATTCTGTATAAATTTTTTTTATAGTATTAATCAAAACATACCAGGGAAACTAGGTTGTTTGGTTTTGGGTGAAAATAATGTCTGTACAAGTACACAGTTACAGTTATTTTTAATTATTTTAGAAATTTAATTCACAGTTTTACAGACTAACAAACAGTACTTGAAAGTCTTCAAAATACCAGCTTCATGCTGACCATGAAAAAGTACACATAATCAAAGTGCTATTAATGATGTGTTGGATAAAAACCTTCACCCTTTTTTTTGCAATTAAAAAAATTGCAAGAAATTTTTCCATAAGTTATTCAAGGATTTCTTTTTGTAAATCAAAATAAAGTGGGTGAGCAGGAGCTGCTGCTCCTTAAATTTCATTATTATT